GGGGGGGGGGGCCAAAATTGGGACCGATTGAGATAACACTACCCCAGAGGGTCCGGGGGAAATGCAAATTTTTGTTTTCTAGACACCCAAAAATAACCTCTGAGGTGGTTTGGGCGATAATTTTTTGTTTTTGTTTTTTTCTTTTTTGACTTTCCAAAAGTGGGGCCTCAAATCTGCCCCTGGAGAAGACGTAATTTCTATGTATTTTTAAAAAATAAAAATAAAAGTATATATATTATATCATAATGTATGCATTTTTTTCTTCCATTCACCAGCCATGTTTTCAGCCTATTATTCAAATTTTAAATGAGGATGAGGACCTCCCACCTCTCAGGAAACTAGTCATAGAAGAGGTTAATGTTGATGATGTCAGTGAACCAAAACCAGAGGAGGTTGAGGAAACTCTGTTCCTTAGAAGGCAGCCAGTCCACGATTCATCACTGATGGAAATAGCTGATGAGGACAGTGTAGTATTAGACAACCTTTTAATTGGTCAGAATGAGCAGCAACCATTGAGAAAAATGATGATTGAAGAAGTGAACTGCAATGATAATTTCCAGGCCAAAACTGTTGGTGACAATATGGTTGAGCAACCAATGAGAAGATTAATGATAGAGGAAATAGATGAGGAGGAATCACAGCCAACTAATAAGCTAATAATTGAGGAGATTGGAGAAACAGAGGCACAATGCAATCAACATGAACAAGGTATGCAATGCAATTACTCTGCTAGAAAAGTAATTAGACGAAAGACATTTCAAAACAAAGTCTATTATCTATGTATTATCTAAATGTGTTGAGAAATAAAATCTATTCTCTCTTTGATTGTTCATGAATTATAATAGCAATTGCTCTACTTTACATCTCCCGGACCTCTACTTCTGGTGATATCTGTCTGTTTTGAGCTAATTAGTTTGAGCAATAGTTCCTTACTTTCTATGTTTTTTAGTCATAAAATAAAACCCCTAAAATTCCAATTAAAATATACATTAGCTCATTTTATAAAGGAATAGTAAATAGTTGTTTATTGTCATAAACATAGAATAATTACTGTGTTGTATATTTTTTTTAGGTCAAATAAATATTTATTTTTTAATATTATAAAAATTTATTTTAATACTTTTAAAGATATAAGAAATCACAAATATAGGAAATTACAGCTTTCCTTTTATTTTTCAGATGATTCTCAAAGAAATTTAGAGGCCAAGATTTGGGAACTGGTATCAAGTGCTGGATCAACAGTAGACAGATCAGAAAGTGATGATGTTTGAATTTTTCTATTGTATAGACTGATGCATTTACAGGGATTGTTCTACCTCTGCAGATGCCATAGCTGGGGGCTTTTGGTGGGGGATTTGTTATGCATCATTTGCTACAAATGTAAATGTTAAAATTATAGTACTGTATGTACTGTATGTTGTTTCCATTGCACCTTCGTACATGGACATGACAAGCACATAAACTTCATACAGAAATCTGGAATGACCCAATGTAAATATACATACTAGAGTAAGAATCAGGATTAGCCATCAAGGGAGCTGAGTTCTTATGTCCTGGAAGTTGTGGAATTTTGAAAATGTAGTATTTATATAGTAAAATATTATTATTAATGAATGATGGGTCAAAAATTACAAAAATAGATGAAATCAGAGTTTGTATTTGAAATGTTTAATAAAAAACAATAGTATATCAAACTATTTTGCATTGATAGTCAATGATTATTATGTAAATATGAAATGTATGTACAATTAAACAATCTTAAATCTTTTTTCATGCCTGGATATGTTTGGGTTAATTCAGCCCTTCCCCATCAGTTGGGGAAGGGGTATTTAACAGACCAATTTAATTCCCTAAATGTTTAGCATTTGGAAAACAAGAATCTGTCCAATAGCACCACTTAAAACAAATTTTTCTTGTGAATATATTAACTTTGTAAAGTTACTAACAAGATTATCCTGATCACTTGCTAATTTTAGTAAATAAGAATTTGATACCATTATTTCGATAACATTATTTCATAAGACCATGTAGGCATATTTTGATTAAGTCTTGATTTGTTACAGAAATTCATTGCTTGTATGGCAAATTACAAGAAACAATTTTAATAATCTACAGTAGTTTAATGATAGCCAATTTTTAGTCAGAGCCAGCTTAATAGCTCACCAATACCAATGGCAATGTTAATTAGCAATCGTCCACTTGTCACAAAATGTCTGGTATTGACAATCGTTCAAAAAAGGGACAAATTCAAAATGATTAGCAGGACAAGATCACCTACAAAAATGTGCAAGGAATCTAATTTTACAATTGATTTATATCAAAAGCAGACTCCATAATATTGTTTTTAATATTTGTCTTAATGATATGTTTGTCAGATTACAGTTAAACTTGGCGAAGTCGACTTTTCTTTACTCAAATAATTTATCTTACTTATTTTACTTGCTAAATTGTGTTTTCCATTAATAAACAATCTGTAAGCCAAATTATCTAAGTTGAACAATTTTTCAATGGCATTTTGGATTCGACTTAGGCAAGTTCAACTGTATAACAATTCTTTAAAAATATGAACATTCTTTCATGATAAATTTGAACTCAATATTCAATAAAATAGACATATTGGAAGGAATGATTAAGTACTATACACAATCATGAAATAAATTTAGGATTGCCCATAAAATGCTTGTTGGAAAGCAGTTTGGCCAATAATATCTGCTGCCTGCAAGGCACTTGTATTATTTATACAGTACCTGTATATTTTTCATGGGTGTGTGTGTCTGTTTATCAGCATAAGCACTGTTCATACAATAGCCATCTTTCCTTTCACTCTATCAGTCTGTAAGGCCGTGTCCACACTATCAATTTAGAATTGTGACAAATACCTGTAATTCCCCCATATATGGGTGTGAGATGACATCATCATGTCCATATATTGGTGCAAGACGACATCATCATGGCCATATATGGGTAACACAAACCTTCTGAGAGTTGACGACAGAACTTAAAGCTCTGTCCAGACTATCAAATTTTCTTTGACAAAAAACTGTTGTATGCCCATATATAGTCATGATGTGCCTATATATGGTCATGATGTGATGTCATCATGACCATATTTAGGCATGTCATGTTTTTCTCAAAATGTGATAGTTTGGACAGGGGTTTAAGAATATCTCTATTGACATTCCCTAGACTGTCCTTAGTTATCTGAATATTAATTACTATCCATCGTGCTCATTTCCAAGTCAAATCTTGATGACCTAATATTACATTCATCTTGTAATATCACATCATCGGTTATTTTGAACAAAAGTGGTTCAACAGGTTCATGGTGAGCTACTATTGGTTGGACACTTTCCGTTTTGTTAGATCCACTAAAAAGATCTTTTATTTGACACTGGTTTCCTTGCAGTGACAGGCTTTCCTGGGATGTGTCCATCAAATTCTCCCGACCATCACTTATGTCAAATGGAATTTGTTTAGCAATTGACGAGCAGCCTGCAACATTGTCTGTGAACCCACTAACTGGGAAATCAACTGTGTGTTCATTTTCATTTGGTGCTTCACCAAAGTAGTCCTTTCGCATGGTACTTGTAAGATATTTATCTGCAGCGCTGGTGTTAACATCAAATGTGTCTAGTGAGGTACTGAACTCCAACATACTGGCATCGACCTGCAGGAGGTTTCTCTGATTTGCATCAATGCTTGAGACATCAAGTGAACTTGGAGGAGCTAGCTGCATCTCCCCAACGTTATCTTGACACAAGTCATCTTTGCGCTTCTCTAACTGATTAGATCTCAAATCTTTGGTATAATTGATGTCATCTACATTTGATAAACAATGTTGTGGTGGCAACTCCACTGTATAATCTTTTTTTACTGGATGCTGAGTGTCAGCTGAATTATTAAAGTTTGTGTTGGTGGGAGATCCAGCATGACGATCTAACACTGACATCAGGTTAACCTTAGCTATTGCACCTCTGGGAGTGTTACTATTACTGCGAGGATTTGAAACATTTGAACTTGACTGTTCTAGTTTAGCACCAAATTTGTTTTCTTTACCTGTGTAAGAAACAATAATACCAATATTATATATTCCAATATTTTTCTTTAAATATAAAGTCACCTAACAAAGGTTCTGACACAAGGCAACCTCTCACAAGTACATAAAATAAATTTTAAAAACAGTATAGCTTGGGTGGTAAACTTTTAAGTGTGTTATGCGCCATAGAGATCCCAGGGGACTTGAGAGGGCAGCATAGCTCATGGCAGCCCAATGAGTGTGCATTATGTAGTTTTAAAAATACTACAGTACTGTAACTCCAGTACATTCTATCTTAAAAATAAAACCTTTACATTAATATATTTACCGCAAAATGGATGCCCCCCTGTGATATAATTATTAAACTTTATCGGTAATTATATTTCTACTAGATCATTACTTAATTACTCCTTTTATTAAAGTTACCTGTACATTTCCTGTCAAATTTGATAAGGTTATTTTGACTACTTATGGGTCCATGGATTGGTGATACTTCTGGCACGTCGAAATAAAGCATGGACTTGGTTCTACCACAAGGTGTGTTCTCTATGGGGTGCATCCGTACTGAATTGAAACGCATTTTTAAAAAACAGTTTAATTAGAAATGAAGGTACATGAACAATAACATAATACATAATAGTAGTAAAATAATATATTTATTATTTTGAAATATGTTTGCATCAGGAAATTCAATAGGAATTAGGTTTTTTACACATTCTGACATGTTATTGCACTTGAATACAAGGTACTTTCTTAAAATACTATGATAAATTACAGTTTACCTAGCCACCAGCACAAGCTTGGTGGTCTATCTGTCATAATAGCAGTGGATCCAATTCCCATCAAAATCACTGTCAATTGGAAGGCAAGCATTTTAACATCCAAGCATAATATAGCACCAACATCTTTAATCCATGTTTAAGAAGGATGAAACTTCAAAAATGTATACAGGAAATATCACACTTAAAACTCTTCTAATTCAACTAACCTCTGTGATTATCTACTGGATTTTTCAGGGAGTCCATTTTTATGGGTGAGAATGGAGGAGACTCAATATCTGATGATATTAATGAAGCATACTTCTTGCCAATAGGTGTAAATGAAGGGGTTGATTTTGGACTGGAGGAGAACTGACTCTGTAGTGGAAATAAATCCATATTTACAAAGATTTAGATTAAATTATTTAATAAGGCATAAAACACAAAATAAATGCAAAACATTATTATTATTATTATTATTATTATTATTATTATTATTTGTATTAATGTTGTGGTAATTATAATATTATGGGTATCACCATCATTATCACCACCATCATTCTCATCTTCATCGTTATTGGCATCGTCTTTGTGGTTATCATCTTCAACAACATTCATATATATCTTTTTTTTACCGTAAATCATGACTGACTGACTAACCTTGATTTCCAATGTGCTTAGGCAAAAAAATAATATTTTTTAGGTCACTAATTAAAAAAAAAAATTATTGGTGTTTTCTCCGGTTGTTAATGCACAAAGCGCCATAAGCACCACTTTGTGTGGAGGACACTGACGCTATACAATTTATTAATGTTATTATTTATTACAATTTTAATTCTACATGTCAGATGCAAGTGAATAAACTCTTTTACCTTAACAGAAGCTGGTGTGTTTGGTGTTTCTCTATCAGCTAAGACATTACCATGTTTAATTGAATTGATTGGCGATAGGGAGAGAGATGCTGGAGGAAACACACTGTTTTCACACCGACTTGATTGAACGTAATTCATACTAGAACTTGATTCTGATTCTGTCGATGGTAAGAACAGTTTGCGACGAAGTGAAGAAGTCGACAGAATCTCATCCATATTCCCCTGTTGAAAGCTGTAAAATGATTCTAAACAATGAGAAAGGAAAAATTCTGATTAATTAAATAACCAATATAAATTTATGATAATAAATGGTTATACTTATAGTTTTTTTTAACTTTGTTGTTAAAAACTAAAGCAGTCTCAGCTAAATCAACATGCTGTTGTGTAAATTACCTGATGTATTATAATAACCTATTTTTACTGGTCTAATAAAACAGTCACAACATTTAAAACTGAGTATCTCATAATTCATTTAAAAACTAGGTACAGTAACATCTCCAAATTACATACTCCTCATCCGAAAAGGGTTCGTAATTGAGAAAATTCGTAATTCAGAACATTTTCTCAATTACGAACCCTTTTCGTAATTGAGAAAATGTTCTCTGAATTACAAATTTTCTCAATTACGAACCCTTTTCGGAATTGAGAAAATTTGTAATTCTGAGAACATTTTCATAGCAAATAATTTTCAATAAATATACGGCTATCACTAGTATACCTAGGCTGTTTAAGCATCGTACAGAGAATACCAATATAGGGTAACACATCTTCAGGGAATTTGTATCTTTCTTCAATTATGTTAGGTCACCCATAGGGACAAGCAGCACATACTAGGACAGTAAGTCTTAAACAAATAGCACTTAATATATACAGAACAATGAGCATAAATCATCTGCATAACACATTTCTTAATACAAAATTGGACTTATATCTGACTTTAAGCAACAAATTCATCTCTCAGATGTTATATCATGGACGTATTAATGAATAAATTCATATGGATTGCTTAGTAGTAACATTACTGACATAAGCTAGCTCATTACCAGAAAGTGTGTTTACGACGTGTGGGACAGGGCAGCATACATTGAGACTTTTTGCTGCTCTACAGAATGTTGTGATTCAAGGCAAACTATCCACTTAATAAATTTGTGAGAGATAGTGCATTTAGATGCTAGACTCCATCAACAATAAAAAGAAGTGGTTGTGTAGTTGTCATTATTTACTTACGGAGCAAAGAATGTAAATCAAAATCAAGAGGCAATGTTAAGCACGTCTGACAGGATGCTATTGATATAATATGGAAAAATATTATTGAATATTATTATTTAATATTATTGTTATTCATCATCTTAAGACAAAACCTTGAATAAAATTCAATAAAAGTACAAAGTATCACCAAAGTCAGTATCAAAGCAAATTGAAAAAAAAAGAATTAGATAATATTCTCTCAAGTTCACACTAACCCATAAGAACTAATTTTATATAATAATAATATAAATAATATGTTGGTTTTTATATAGCGCTCTACACAACTAAGTCTCAGAGCATTTTTCCACATTATCAACCCTGTCATTGGAACGATGCTTAGGGGGAAATTCCATAGTTTACTGCATGCAATATATCAGCACATTTTTCACTCAAACATTCTCAGATACCCATTTGTACTCCTGGGTGGAGAGAAGCAGTGCAGATAAAGTGCGTTGCTGAAGGACACAAGCAAAATGCACAGCCAGGGATTGAAACCCCGACCTCGAGGTTGGGAAACCAAACCATTCCCGCTGCGCCAAGCCAAAACTACATTCTATATAAACATAGTTGGAATTAAAAACATCATTATCATGGTCCAAATAATTTAACTGAAGAAAAAATTTCTTGGAAACACCACAACTTACCATCAGTCATATTTGGCTTAGCATTAGCAAATGATGTGTCACATAATGAAGCTGCTGAATTATCAGCTGACTTGATATCATAATCTACAAAAATAAATATGAAGATTAAATTTCATTCTTCAATACTATAATATTACAATAAATATTGGATTATGTATCTCTCCAAAAGCGTAGGCAAATATTATTATATATTTTTAATACATATCACCTGAGCAGCTTTTTATTTTTTGATACAACAAATCCAAATGCAATATATTGTTAATATTTGCCAGTCGGGCTCACCCCGACCTCGAGGTTGGGAAACCAAACCATTCGCGCTGCGCCAAGCCAAAACTACATTCTATATAAACATAGTTGGAATTAAAAACATCATTATCATGGTCCAAATAATTTAACTGAAGAAAAACTTTCATGGAAACACCACAACTTACCATCAGTCATATTTGGCTTAGCATTAGCAAATGATGTGTCACATAATGAAGCTGCTGAATTATCAGCTGACTTGATATCATAATCTACAAAAATAAATATGAAGATTAAATTTCATTCTTCAATACTATAATATTACAATAAATATTGGATTATGTATCTCTCCAAAAGCGTAGGCAAACATTATTATATATTTTTAATACATATCATATCACCTGAGCAGCTTTTTATTTTTTGATACAACAAATCCAAATGCAACATATTGTTAATATTTGCCAGTCGGGCTCTTCAAAATTTTATACATTTTTTTTCCGGTGGGGAAGGGGGAGAGGGAATTTAAAGTGGTCTTGACTGGTCTTGAATCTATAAGTCTACATCTGGTCACACACCCCCCCCCCAACCTATTTTTTGAATTCCTGGATCCGCCACTTATGTTACTTACAATTTGTACTTGGTGGATGCGGTGAGAATGTCACATGTTTCACAGGTTTCCCAGAAGACCACGGTGAAGGAACTACTTTGTTTTGACTGAAAAACTAATGAGTAAGATACATCATCAATACGGAGAGAGTATTCACTGACAGACAGCAAGATAATGATGACCACACCTATTCTAGTCTCATAATCCACAATTCACCCACACTGTCATTTGCAATAAGGCAGGACTTTTTTATAACTTGTTTCAAAAACAAACTTATTTTTTTACAGATTGTCAGAGGAGGGCAGAAAAAACTAAAATTAAAATTTTGTCTTCTTATTTAAAAATATCCAGACTGAGGAGAAATTAAAAATCCATTTTTTTAATGGAAATGTTGTAGTAACGGAATGATTAAATGCTTTAAATTCATATAATTAGTAAGAAATATACCTATCTTTTTTAGAGATTTCAAGGCTGCAGTGGGCATAATAAAAGTAAGCAACAAAAATTGTTTTTTTTCTCAAATTTTCATTTTTTTTAAATGCTTTAAATTCATATAATTAGTAAGAAATATACATATCTTTTTTAGAGATTTCAAGGCTGCAGTGGGCGTAATAAAAGTAAGCAACAAAAATTGGTGTTTTTTTTCTCAAATTTTCTTTTTTTCATGGTGGTGGGTCTAACTTTCTATTATTACCACAAACCAAATAAAATGGTTTAAATAGGCCAAATAAATAGCTGTTAGTTTCACGGCAGGGATTTGAAATTATTTTTTTGGTGACGGTAATTACTACGACTATTTACTATCCTATATAACAGTGGTAAACAAGGTTGGTAAATAATAAACATAATTTTTTTATATAAAAGAAGTAAAATGCATCTTTATTGAAAAATTCTGTATCCACCCCTGGGGAGGGAGGGGATGTCCTGGGCAAAATCATGAGCATTTTCCTGCATCACTGTATTATTACATGGACTCTTACTTTATCAATAGCTTCCTGGATGCGTTGTTCAGCATCCTGATCAACTTGAGTGTCTTGCTGCGGTGTCTCATCTATATCAGCTGGGTGCAGGATGGCCATTTGATCAATTGACCACCTAAACTTGCTTGGTTTCTTAACAACAAAATTGTAAAATCAATATCAATCAATAATGTATATAAAATTTCATATATTTTAATGAGTAGTTTGTGTTAGTGATTGTAGAATAATTTTTAGTATAGGTTAGTTAGTAACACATTAAAGAGATTATAATAGATTGAAGCCGTTTGGCGCAGCGGGAACGGTTTGGTTTCCCAACCTTGAGATCGGGGTTTAAATCCCTCGCTGTGCATTTCGCTTGTGTCCTTGAGCAAGGCACTATCTGCATTGCTTCTCTCCACCCAGGAGTATAAATGGGTACCTGGTGGGGTTGCCTGCTCCTGCGCTGATTCCCAGCAGCAACACTTAACATGTTGACTCAATGACCAGGGAAAGGAACTGCGCTTTATGACCGCAAGGAAGAGGCGCATTATAAATGCCCGTACCAGTACAGTACCAGTATTTTAATACAGTATTAGAGGGACGCATTGCATTCTTTGTTTGCCCTGCTTCTGATAAAATTTTGATGATGATACCAATAAAATACAAACAAAATATTAATACCTTTGTTAAAGAGGAAGGGGTATTTTTTATTTTGAAGATAGATGGACTAAACTTGGAGAGATGAAGACTATCGGTGCTTTCTGCTTCAAAGGGATTAATTGAAACATCAGTACATTCACTGTTTTCTTCCATGATTTGTTGTGTTGTTCCTTTGTGCTCTGCATTAGAAAAAAAAATAAATATGTATTTACAAAGACAGGTCTATTCATTGATTTTTAGGCCTAGTCTATGCCCCTGATCAGGCCAGCAGGAGGCAGATTATGACCACCACCATCATCATCCATGAACTGATTGAATGGATGGTGGTCAGGTGCCGGTGGTGGCAACAGTGGTGGTGGTACTTTACATAAAAGTCAGGCCTAGGCTTAGCTCAAGCTGTCTACTTATTGTAGAAGTTATTTCCTTATTATTGATAATAATGATTACTTATTAACTTACTAAAAACAAATTAACATTACCATTTATAAGCCCAAATAATAAGCTCTCGAAACCACCATTTAAAATTGTCGCCAAAATTCTTCTAAATTCTGACCAATCACAGACTAACATTTGTGACCCCAGAATAACTATTATTCTATATATGTAATAAAGGTATATACAAATATATTAATATATAATAAATAATATATAAAATATATATTATCTATTATTTAATATATACTTGTTAGGTCAAATAATTAATATTTAAAAAATTAAATAAAGGTAAGATATTTATTTGGAAAGAACCTGGTGAGCCATCCGATTCCAAACAAACACCGAAATATGGCGGATAAAAGTAGAGATGTAAATTTTGATTCGTCAAGGCAGGCGATGGATTGTAAGTGTTTGTATATTTACAAATAATAATATGTCTTAAAACTTGAGTATATTCATTTTTCAAAATAATAGGCTGGAAAATAGCTAGAGAGTGATGCTAGCCTTCCTTATCTAAGGTAGCACCTAGCTAGGCCTAGGTAGGTAGGGCCTAGGCGTAGGCTTAGGCCTACCTCTGGTAAGCCTAGACCTGGGTACAGACAGGCTAGGACTAGGTCGCTGTACAGTGTATAGTTGGCAAGTCTCAGACTTTTTAGTTATTCGCTGTACCTAGACGTAGTTTTATTATGGGTAAAAAAAATTAATCAATCCACAGATTATTTTTTTTTAAACAAAGAAATAAATTAATTAAACACTTGCTTGGAAAATATTCATATTTTGTATTGTATTGTAATGTCTTGTGCTTCTCACTTGGGATACACTACAATGTATTTATAACTAGTTTGTTCCATGGCTGACTTGATGAAGTGCATGCCATACCCTTTCCATGTACCGGTGGCTCCAGAAATTTGCCCACAAGAAGGGGTCATTAAAACTTATCCCTCTAATTGCTTTTTATGCTTTTAAGCGCCAGTGACAAATAATATTTTTCTAACAGTCGCATACAGATTCTCCAATTTATTTATTATATTCACATTCAGCTTTGCAAGAGATGGCTAATCTACTAAACACTGGCTTAGATGCTGAGACATTGTCAATATGTGTAAGGCTTTGTGAGCAGGGAGTGAATCCAGAGGCATTGGCAGCAGTGATAACAGAATTGAGGCGAGAGGTTCAAAGTATACAAGTAAGCACTCATACAACAATACTGTCTCAAATTAAATAAGTAATAAATATTATACCATTGTATTACTGAAACAGTATTAAAGAAAGTTTTGATAACCTTTATTGTTTATCAGTTGCGAATCCAGAGGGTGACAAAAGGGACAGTCTCTCAATGTGTCAAAAGTTTGTCATTTTTTTAGCAATTTAATTTGTATTTGGTATCCCAGTTGTGTAACATTTAAAGTACAGATTCCATATTACAGTATATTGAAAGCAAAATTGTATATTTATTTTTTATGTAATTATTAAACAAAAGATTCCATTGTGTCCTTCGCCAAACCAGTTAATGTTGTCTTTCCACCCAAAAGTAACTGGTAAGATTGAATGACAGAAAGCCAATTAGTAGTTTGAACTGTGCATGCCTATATCTAAGGTCAATCGACATTGACCTATGTATGTTGTGTGTATGGTTGTTTATGTTGTTTGACCCTGATACGGGCATGCGTAGTTCAAATTACGAATTTCCATTTCCTTATACACAGAAAACTCAACAACTGTAGAATACTTCCTAGTGATCTGAGTTTGTGTTTCAATATGTGTATGTTATCCACATTCTGGTGTAACTAAAGTGTATTAAAGAAAATAGGGACTTGATAACATTATGCGATACAAGTACGACTGACAATAATCTATTATAGTTGTATGCTCAGTATCTTCAGTAATTAAAATATAGTTATGCAATATAACAAATTACCCACCCATTGATTATAAAATACTGAATAATTAACAAATAAATTATCTTATTAAGTACACTATTTTTAACCAGTATTTTATTTTTGTTTTATTTTCGATTTTCAGGCTGAAAATTCTAGAGTATGAAAACCACAGCTTACACACAAATTTCTGCAACCTAAATATTGGTGAATATTTGCTTACATCCTGCATCTGTTCGAAATTCAAGTGAGACAGACTTTAAGTAACATGTTTGCATTGGGATTGTTCTAATGTTTTGACTTCTTCATAATCAAGAAACAAAATTACACTTGTGAAGCAACAATCCCATATATTCTTACTTTGCTTATGTAACATGCCTTTAATTTAATTATTTAAAAGGCAACATAGCTGTAGACATTTTTTCCCTGGATGCCCATCACATGATGCCGATTTACGACTGTGTCCGACTTTAACTATGAAATATTATGTATATTGCTTGAAAACCAGTACATTTAGTAGAGAGAGTCGGACATTTATCATCATTTGGTTGAGCTTGCTTGGGATGCAAACATTTATAGTCGTCATAAACATGTACTTTTAATTCATCCTTCTAATGTGTATATATCATATTATTGAGTTTCTTGTAATGTATAAACGATAGATGATACCACACTGTTCTTCTAATGCTACTCTTTAAGCCACCTGCTCTGCAACATCACTTTATGTGAGATTTTTTTTACCATCATGTAATATACTGTAATTATATTTTGAATGAATAAATAGTTGTTTGCCATTTTCTATACAATCTTTTTTTTTGTGCATTTGGTATCAAGATAGAGAGGTATATCATAAAAGGGATGGATGATAGATAGGAAGAACACATGATTGTAAAAGAACTATGCTTTATTGTTAACATATTAACTAGAAATACAGTATAGATAATATTATATCTCAAAAAGGCACCAATGAGTAAAATATTAAAATATTTCAATTTCAACTCAAAAATTGATGGCACTATATTACCGGTACATGTTTACTCATTTTTTTAAAAGGATAGGAGGGGCCACGGGTCCCTTCTACTAATACTCCAGCAACCTAAAAGAGACACATCTATTTAAACATTAACCAACATCAGATCATAATATAAGTTAATGTGTTGATGATATTTAAAAAAATTAAAATACTACTGTCAAGAGGCCCTCCTACTAATACCTGCAGTTTCATACTTCTAAGCAGTTCAAAGTTCATACATCCCTGCCATGACGGTCCAATCAAGGAAGACACCCAAAGCTAAGCAAATTAATACAGTATTATAATCCTCTGTGTTTTTATCTTGCAAGTTTTATAGCAACTAAGTATAATTGCTCATGCGTGGGGTCCCATGAAAATATTTCGATTAAAAGGCCCTAATCAACATCGATTGGACCATTAAAGAACGGTGTACTTTTCATTCAGATTGGTCTTTTCATAGTATTCTGTTTCGGAGCAAACATCATTTGTGGTATCGAAGTGACATTTTATCAAAACAATCGATCAATATGTTTACTTAACCGTCTTTATAATATAGTTGGTTTTTTTTTTCATTTTAATAGTCTCTTTTGTTAAAATGTTGGAATGGTACCTTATAAAAATTGATTGATTGATTGGTTGATAATGCTTATATTGTTGGTGAAGCTTCAATCCATGATTGAGTATGCTGCATGCACGCTAATGACAATGTAAAATATTATATTAAAAATGTGTGTGCAAAATAAAAGTTGATTATACTGTTCAATAGTCACACAACATTTTTTAACATTGTCTGATTTTAAATGCAGCCTTTTCAGCCTTAACTTTATCTCTAGGTAGATTACCCACCCCCGGCCACTTACGTGAGCGAAAATACGTTGCTGATATGCAAGGGGCCCAATATTTTCTCGCCCCGAGCCCCATGACTCGTCGTTACGCCAATGGCGCCCCTACTGTTTTATTCGATTTATAGTATTACATAAAAGAACAAGGCCACTGCTACGAGGATTACGGAGCTTCGACCGGCGTCCCCGTTTGATGAAATTAATTCAGTACTGGATACATAGGTCATTAATGCTACGACAGCATTAATGACTTCGTGCGACAGCTTGTATATCGACTTATCTGTACTGAAAGCATCTGACTGGAGTTATCTTAATAACATTTGTCTAATTTCTGAATTGGATCAACTAAATATTTGTCGGAAGGATAGAATATATTAATGAAACAGAATACATTATACAAATAGCCGCCTACGAAAAGCTATATTCGCATGCTAGAATAGCAAAGATTTACTCAATACTGGTGATTAGTTTGTTAGCTAGCTAGCGATGCGGGAACTCAACGGTGTTGTGTGCTAAAAAAAGACCTTCAATTGCGCCAACCACCGTTTGACATCATAAGTAAATATTATTTCACAAGTCGTCTATTAAATCATACCAAAAGCATTTAGAGAGTAAATAAATACACTCTACATTTGGATAATCAATAGGTGTCTTCATGTTGAACATAAAACTGCCGTGCTTGATCCACGTTAAATTCTCGTCTTGAGATACTCAGTCATAATGAGCCTGCTTCTTTCTCCTCTCAACTCAAGATATTTTCTCCGGATAAATGACTAATAGATATTTGTTAGTCTTCGTTTTATCTAACTGGCATAATTAATTATACAGTAGCATTTTGCATGTTATTATTAATCTTAATTAAAATGATGTATCATTCATACTTTTAATAAGAACTTAGACTATGTGGCTGTATAAGCAGTATTTATTCTTGTCTATATCCATTAATATATCTGGGTTGATCTAAAAATGATTAAATAGAGTAGTATTACGAATAATGAATGCATAAGTGCAATGTGGAGACTGTTTCATGAATTGAACGATAGATATTCCATCCCGGATGGAATAACTCATAAAATACATTTTAAGCAAAACGTAATTGACATCCGAATTTCAACCCAAGATGAATTCGAATCCCGATATTACGGTAGCAAATGTAGGAAGTAATAGAAATATAACGTTGGAATAGTCGGTTTTCTTATAAAGGTATTATCATGTAGGGCCTATACCGGGGCGGATACAGAGATGTCCAAAGGGAGGGGGCGAAAGTGGGCCGATCGAGATGACAATATCCTATGGGGACCCCTTCCCCCCACTAAATCAACTCCTGCTTTATATCATTGATAGATGTGTTTTTCTTATCATACTCAGTTTATAATAAAAATATACAGTTTTGCGTTTAGCCCTACCCTTTTAAATCGGCTGGAAACCATCCTTTCAAGCCCCCTCCCCCAGTTTTTAAATATCCAAAAATCTGTATCTCATTAACTGCCCGAGTTTTTCGTCAAACACTTTTTTGTCCAAGAAAAAAATCAGTTGTAGGGCCTACAACATATCAAAACATGTTTTTCCTCCGGTACCACAACAACTGATTACCAGTAGGCATGCGCAACAAGTGTCACAGTTATTATATATACAGTATATAATTTATATATACACAGTTATATACCGGTAATATATATGTAGGCCTATATAAATATAAATGTATATATAATATGCATGTTTTAATATGTTATACTGAAATTCTACAGCCATTTATAATGTATTTTCAAAATAGGCAGCTGCCTTTAATTACTTATTCTTGGAATATTTCTTTATATTTTTTGAACCATTACAAATTAGACTTTAGGGCAACACACAAGCGAACACGTGTTCACGTTGGTTGATTTCATAGCGAAATGGGAATTCAGTTGATTAAGGCGTTTAAGTAACAACTCACCTGGAAAATGAATCAATTATTAACCACTTAACATATTTTATAATGAACGATTTTTGTCTGATTCAACGAGTCAACTTTTATGGTACGTTTATTACGTTAAAACGCAGGCTATTAAGGCCTACGATTAATTAGTTCAAAAAAGATATGCGATTTGTTAAAATATCTCCACAAAACACCTGTCGAAAATATGTATTATACCATCTCCCTAGTAATCTATTTTTCAACAAGCTACGCATGCTCGATTTAAAACATGCTGGAATTATGAGCTAATAACGGTAAATAGAAGTGGCATGTATGAGGAATTGCGAATCTTTCCTGCGCGTCTTTATCGGGTCGTCGGCAAGTAAGATGTCTTGTTACTGACGGCGTTATGACACATCATTTATGACTCATTAACAGGCAGGTAATAATACGATATTGTTTCAAAATTGTTTGCGCTCATTCGATGTATCTCAATCCTCCATGTGTTTATAATGTTTGTCGGTCTTGGTCGAGAGGAATTTTATACTTACGGATCAATTTTCTTTCTTATTGGAACGGACGGAAACCGACCGTGAGAGGCTTGTTACTGATTGAATATCATATCGATCGGCAGGTCCAGCGGACTTTTTGCGTACAAACAGTGTACATAGATTTTTTGTACAACTCCAACCATCTGTTATCATCCCATCTAAATCTATTGTCTGATTGGCATTCATATGCAAAATCGATTCATTTATCCTCCCGTGCTTCATATATAGTCAACATTATTTCATTCCAGATTTTTTGAAGCACAGACACCACAAGTATAAACCGGGAATAGATTAATAAAGTGAAGGTAAGTAGGCATCATTTTTCAGAAACATAATTATTGAATAAAGTAGGCTTATGCCTATTTATTTCTCTATAGTATATCTGCAAAGCTATTTTTTAAATATAAATAATATTTAATAATTTTGTTTATGCATATCAATTATTCGTCATTTTATTTTGAAATGCAACATATTAAATTAATTAGTATACACGATGCAAATGTTAATATACGAGACTAAATTCATGATACCGCAGTTATTTGTGCAATTTGGTTATATAAGCAGCTCATCATCTAAGTGGTGCTTGTGAGGAGAAAATCCGAATGTTTTCCGGTAATCGGATTCAATATTATTTGATTGAGGTCCTAGGGGTATTAGTATTATATTCGTAGTTTCACGAGTGAATCAATTGGAGCTGACCATCTCATGGCGAATTCGATCATCATAATCGATGGTATCGGAATTCATCATAAGCAGGCATGAACTCAACATATTTTGGGGCTTTATGTTTAATGTAAATAATAATATTGATATCAGATAATATTTTTTAAATAATAATAATATTGTAAATTTAAATAATAATCAAATAATTTTGTGATTTTTAGATTCTTAATTTAAATTGTGTCTGTTTTTTTTGTGTGTAAACTTTTGTAATTATTTAAATAATTAAAGTTGCTGTTTATCTTCATCTTAATTTGAACCATTTCATTTTTTTTCTGTTTGTTGGTATTTTGTGTTTTATTTATTCCATTTATATATATATATTTTTTTGTATTATCTAATCTGTTGTACGATTGCAATAAAGTGAATTATGAAATAACAATGCTTACAGTATTTAAAAGTGGTTTTTAGAAAAAGGAGGGTCGAGGCATTTCCTAAACATATTGAAGTGATAAAACTAATGTTTTATCACTTTTATAATTCAAATATGCCTCAGATTATCAGTATGAACATCATCTCATTATTACCGTCATCAACATTGTCGTCCAGTAATCATGATAATCATCATCACATTCATAATGGCTATCGATTGCTTCCGTCATACTAAGTTTAAAATGAACCGTAAAGAGAGGTGTGAGGGTGGTCAGAGGATTGAACAGTATTACAGAGAACCCCGACAGAGGGAAATAACTATTGTTGGTTTCACATGGGGTAATATGGAATCGGGAAAAAATGTAATGATATATAGATTAAGATGGTGTATTACAAAGAAGGCTAGTAAATTCGTTTTAAAAATGCAGGTTCACGTTGGTGAAGACGCCATGATAAATGTAACATAACTAGAATATTCGATTTCTGGTGTACCGTAACGTGAGATTTATAGAGCTACCCGTCGAGGATTCAGCACTGATGTAGAGTTTTAGGTATTTTAGGATTGAGATTTTATTATAATTGTAGATTTGTAAATATTATGACGTTTGTTTGAAATAAAAATGTCTAAATATTTAAAGCATTCAACCGTTTTAAATTTCAACAATTTCGTAGGCCTACAAATATGATTTTGCAAATATTATTGCTGAGATTTCTTGTACCTTATCTAGAAATTGGAAGAGCCTGGCCTATCGTATAACCTGCTGATCAAGATTCTACACCATTCATTAATATTTTGAAGTTAAAATGACCACTTTATTTGTCTAATTTTAATACCATAGTTCAACAATTGAATGAAATTTGTACGATATAATTATAGTCATAATTTGCAATTTATCATGCTCTTATGAAATGTGTTTCTTTCCAGGTGGCTACAAACAAATCTAGGTTCTTCTTCATTTGGTATTCAGACTGTAATTACTCATTTTAATTGTTTATTATGGGTCCGCATATTCGCGCAGTAGAAGAAGGTTACGTAAAACTCGATAAAAACAAGAGTGTATCAAAGGCTATAAGAAACAAAAAGATGAAAATACGCTGTCGCAAGTGCTTCTGTAGCCCGTGCACGGTGGCATTATTGATCGTTTTTTGTTGGATCATCTGGTTCTTGCTATGGATATACGCAATAGATGACGCTGAGAAATACGGAAAATTGGTGACATTGTCGATGGAAGTGTCGAATCGAAGAGGTGCGTTTTGCCTTGACGGATCACCGCCTGGTTACTATATAAGAAAAGGTAAGAGATTGCTTGCTGTTGTTTTAATTACAACAATCCCCGTATCCGTGTACGCATCTGTTGTGATTACTTGTGAATACATAATTACAAATTATTATTTATTACACTGTATACCTATATCCATAATGCCTCGACTGAGGAAGATTTATTGTGTAGACATGTTTTAATTATCTACAGTAGCAGTCTTTATTAATTTGTCTTGCGGAAAT